AATTATTGGGTTGTTTCTCCTTCTCCAGTATATCTGCTAGCTAGAGTTTCCGTTTCTTTAATGCATGTGTTTCATCGTCGTGTTTTATTTTTGACTTGGAAGTAATATTCTGCGATTGCCTGATTTCAATCTGTAATTGACTCATTTCATCTGCATCAGCTCGTCTTTTCTGTTTTCCTAGAAAAATATTATTCAGTGTATTATTCCATTTTGGTCCTCACTACAACCACCATATAAAAGTTTTGTAACCAAATAGTATTGAAAAGTAATTAGTCATAACCAATACCAAACCCCAAAAATGAAATACACAATAAACTATCTGTGATACCTAATCCTCCAAGTCGCATCTTTGAGCTGGTTATTGCTTGCATTTGTGGCTATGCTGAACATCAATGGATTTGCCTCCACCAATTGTACCAGCTGCATTACTTCTTCTTTCGTCAATAGCATATTCTTTTGCTGCAATGAGTGCACCAAACACGAGTTATTAGTCACATGTATGTTCATGTAAACAAGAACTTTAAAACTTCAATAGCTTCAATCTAAAGCTAGAAAAGCACAAACTGTAATACTTACTGAGGTCATTTTTATAACAAACAATTCTTTGTTATATAATTCACAATTTATTGTAAACAAAATCAACAAACAACAATGTCAAATGTCAATGTTTTAACAAATACGTTCCGTTACAAGTCGCGCACTATTCCATTCGCAAACATGAAGTTTTCGTTATATTAAACTTAAAAAAATATTGTATAATATAAAATTAGTGCAAAATATAAGGTTTCGTTAATTAATTCAAAATGTTTGTGATATAAACATGACAAGATGCTTTAAAAACATTATTGTAACTTAGTGGTACTCTGTGGAGCTCTGCATATAATGAAACACACGGGAGGGCTCAGATAGGCACCCTATCTACTGTTAACTAGAGATAGCAAAGACACATTTTAGTTATTGGGACGACATCGAAAGATAGATAGATTTTAACTGACTATCGAGGATAGCTATCTATCTTTACCTATGGATTGAATATTGGGAACGGCCGTTAGTTTCTCTCTTCTTTTAGGAGCAATTATTAATGAATTTGTTTGTTAATGAAGGCACATAAGAAAAATAGTATTTGCATTTTAATTAATTTATATGGAAATGTCTAGATCAAGTTAATGTTATTTCTGTACTTTAATTTACTTTTGGAAAAGGAACATTAACCTACTTAAATATATATTGAAATACACAATGAACTTGAAAAGTAACAAATTCTTTAATAACAATAAATCGCCACACGATTGATAAATCAGCAACCGGTTACTTACCAAAGAGGCGAGGCGAACAGTTACTAATGCGTTTTATTTTCCTTAATTCTCCGATCATTAGCAGCGGACATATATCACGTTGAAACCGCTTACATTTTACCAAAAATGAATATAACTAAGAATAACCGATATTTTTCCTTTCTCCCCTAACAAATGATACGGGGAAATAAAATTTATGAATCAATAAACACGAAATGGTCTTTGGATTCCGTATTCGCGTGTCGCCCACTATGCGTTATATTTTTACGACGTCTCTTCAAAAACATTTGAACTTGGATATTAAACTAATACAACCAATGTAACCTTTATTGCATAGACACAAGAGCGTATTTCGCGAGCCTACGCGTTAGAAATGGCTTGTGGTTAGAGTATCCAAGGATTCAGGCCAAAACCGAAATGTGCTAAGTTTTCCGTTAAAGGCATGTAAATGTCTCATATTTTGCATATTGATTTTGGTAAAAAGTATAGAACAAAATTGCCTCTCCACCCACCCGAGCCGTACAAGTTAGAACGAGTTGAACATTTTCTTTAATGTTCCATGTGAGGGAGAGAACTATTGGTTTTTAATGCCAATAAAATTAAATGATCACATGTACCGGCACGATTCTGTAATATCATTCGGTATGAATTGCTTTTACAAAACACTAAGGTCGTAGTCAAATTAACTGTTAAAAATTACAACTTACTAAAATTACTTCTGTATTTCATTTGTACAACATTAAAAGAAAAGACTACTTACGTCTATATTGCATTCCTACAATATTAAAAGCCAGCCGAAACGCAGCTATTCAAACATATATCAACACAGACTGCAGCGCTCGACTCCCACTTGACACTTGACTGTAGTTAACACAATATTTATTCTACTCATTTCCCGTTAATCATATAAAAGTTGGCGAGCCTACTAGTAAGGTAGGAGAGCCAGTTGCCGACCTAGTTCCATTCGGTCTTTGTTTTAAAATTCCCTCGTCGCGCCTGCCAAATGTGGCGTGGATTGAAAACGAGGTCGCGAGCCTTGTTAACGTTTTTTTTTCGACAATTTTGTATGGCTTCCTTTGCATTCGGATTTTTGTATATCCGTTGACGTTTTTGGCATTATGCCAACATTGCAAACATTGCCTCCTTCATTTTTGTGACTGCATAAACGGCGGCGGATCTTTGAAGCCAAGATAAGGTGCAAATACATTATAATGTGAATAATTATTAAAAATTACGTGGCATAAAGCTAAACAAACAATATTGTACTGGCTGCAAAGTTCACGGCCGCACGCCGTACGATTTATGCCGCTGTAATCATGTGCACTCCCAATCCCATAACCCCGACCGTTTCCACTAATCTGTTGCCATTCTTTTTCTGAGAAAACTACCGTGAAAGCGGCGCTACAGATAGATCCCCATAATCATTTGTCCTCTGCATACGTTAGCATAAGCTGTAGTTTCTCGCACAACGATAAACTTCGGTCGGTATACCGAGATCCTTTTTACTCTGTGACAGTTTGGGACCACACATCCCTTTGGAAACATGTTTATTTGATAAATTACTTGTATGCCAGGGCCTGAGCGGACAGTGACATGCCAGAAACTAGGCACTGTTTTTAGAAGGGCCGCGAATAAATTGGCTTATGAATTTTGTAGCAAAGTGATATTCAATGATCTTCTGAGGTATCGTACGAGATTACTGTCTTCTCCAAGTGTGTCACTAAGTAGCTCTTTTGTATTTGTGATTTCTACTTCACGTTATTATATTTCTAACTGTAACCTACGAGGTTGAAGCATTCACAATTGGAACGACATACTTGGAAGGCACTCTGAATCGTGATTCGTTAAATATTCAACATACCAAAACTTATCTTAATCTTTTCCTCCTAAGTACATTAGCCACGCAAATCTATCCGACGAGGCCTCCAAAAAGTTGGAGAATTTATTCCGCAATGTTGCCAACAAACAAAACGTCCCAAGTTAATTGGTACAGGAGGCTCCCGACGAAGTTGGTGGTACCTGCCGCCACAGTGTTGCCAGCATTAATTCTAATTACGCACGCGGCACGATCCACTTCTAAAGTTGAGGAATAACTCCCGGGAACTATATATTAATTAAAATCTATCGGCAACTCTGGCCACTAGGCGCACAGGGCTGCGCCACTTTGATGAATTAATCAAATTCACTTTGTGATTTAGTAACGCGCTTCATTGTATGAGCGGTATTGTGTTATGTGGGAGGAATAATGCAATCCTCCATCAAATATATCATTTTCCTAACCGCAGTTTGTTATCAACCTTTTATCAAATTCTTTAATTTTTATAAGACGCGTTAGCTTATAGGACAATTCAGTAATGAGAACCCTAAGCACGTGCGTGCAGCAACTGTTGTTGTCCGCATTACAACTTGGCTCACATGAAGTATTACGGCATAAGGTGCAACTTTTATTAATTCTTATTGTCACCGCCAGGAACACGGCGCTGCGTACATTGTTCTCACGAAGTTCGCGATGGGAGGGGAAGTTTAACACCCCACACTGCACAACTATATCCATGCTGTTTATCTTTTTTAAATGAAAACAATTTATAAAAAATAAACAAAATTAAACTGAGAAAAAGATGTCTTAAAACATTCAACATAACGGTAAAAATATTAGTTCAGTTAGGTTTTGAGATTCTCCGATAAAATTATTTATAGTGAAGCCCTCATAATAATTAATTTGTGAAACTAATCTACTTCTGCAAATTTCCAGCCAATAGCAGCTAAGATGTGAGTGATCGATCATCTATCAAAGCATAATAGAAGTAATACTAATAGTACAAAGTCTCAGGTACGTCGACAAAGCTATCGGAATATTAGCAAAGTAACTATTGTAAGTGCTACAAACTATCGGATTGTTCGTTAGCTTTGCAGGAGTTGCGCCAACTGTAGCGTGACTATGACGCTCCGTCAACATTTACCTAGACAGACAGGTTTGAAAGTCAACGCGCCATGTTTCAAGGGTACAGAATATTTATGCAGAAGTTCAATCAAAACGAATAATTATAGTTTACATATTCACGAGCTTATATAAAAACACCGATATGGTAAAACGATTTCATCCGCCAGATGGCGCTGCTCAAGTAAACACTGGATTGTGACTGTGCTCGTGATAATAATTATTTAAAATAAATTTATCTAATAAAATGTGAGTTTGAACAATATAGTAGTGATATAACTGTGCAAATATTGTGCTGAAATGTTATCTACCGAATCTGTACAAGATTAGTGACGAAATCTATGACGTATAACGTGAAGAAATAATATTGTAACAACCATATAAAACCTACTCTTTACACTACGAATAGCAAATAACTAAGGTATGCACTAAAGTCACATTACCTATACATAAATTCTCTAAAAATAATGCTAAGTGAACATTTACTGAATAAGTGAAACCGTTAAGAAAAATATTTTGAATTGATGACATACAAACTAGCGCAACTGCGGAGGATAGAAACACTGATACCTTTTGAGACTACCGCCATCTAGCGACGAGTAGCGGTACTACTAAGCTAATCAGCATGCAATCATTGATTGATCATAAGTGAAGCGGAATAACTGCAAGTGGTTGCCGCTCCGTAACAACAGGTGGCGCTACTAGAAACATCTTCAAAAATAGTTTATAGATGATTATTATATTGTTTTGTTTTTCATTTCTAAAGAATGGATGACAATATAACTATTCGAAAATATCGTAGAACTAGCTCACTAAATGACATATCTGCAGACAATTGTACGTTATTTGACACAACTATGTTAAGCTTGCGAGACTCCTCAATTAATGCAAGTCAAACTGTCCTAGAACTACACGAAAAACTAGAGGAGATGTCAAATAACATTGAAAGTGCTCATGCTGAGATAGATAACCTGAATGCCGAGAACACGCAACTGAAATCTGACTTACAGAAATGTAGAAATATAATAGACACATATAAGAAAATCAATTCCACAGAAATTATAAATATGACACCGCTTACGGGACGTAAACGTAAGATAAAAACCGCAAATAAAAATTTAACGCCTTTTAAAATTATAGAGCAAATCACACAAACGTGTAATACTATTGATCAAAAGGAAGGAGATGCGAATTGTGAACAATTAATAAATAAAACGCCTAACACAAGGAAAGAAGACTACCAAACTGAGATAATACATAATGAAACTGTATTATCAATGCAACAGGCCATTTCAAATTCAGAACAACAATTGGCAGAAGCTAAGTTAGAAATAGCCACACTAAACAAACAGATTCACATCCTGCAGCAAGTTTCTCTAGGTAATCGAAGTGATGTTATTTTGTCGGCCACTTCTGCTAGTATCATTCCTCGTGACAACAATGTGAATACTGTGTATCCAATAGTTCAAAAAAGAAATAAACTCTGTATCCTTAGCAATTGTGATCGAAATTGCTCCATCAGAGCTATCGAAGAAATATTCGGCAATCATTTCGAGTGCTGTCGTTATTTGTTGACCAACGGTAGCATAGAACGCCTGTTAAATAATATTAGCAATAAGTTACTTAATTATAATATCAATGACTATTGTATTATTATGCTGGGAAATACAGACATAAAAACATCGTCTAACTATATAGAATTTGTAAAAGTAATGAGGAAATCTTTGCAGCACATAACAAACACAAATATTATAATATGCAGTCCCACCTACATTTGTGGTGCGCCCATTTACAATTATAAGGTTGAACTATTCAATAATCTCTTATATCAAGACTTACAGAAAGAAAACAGCTATGCATATTACTTTGACTCAAACAGTTACTTAGCTTATGATATGTTCACAAGTAAAACCGGCCAGATTAATACAAAAGGTATAAAAACTTTGTACAACAATATCATGGAGAATATAAAAATCGATATAAAGATATACGGCACAGTTAACGATGAAAAATCTATGCAAACAGACACACACCACACATCAACTTTCACAAAACAGCCAATAGTAAATAATGAACGATCTTGTACTGAAACAACTACAAAAATTACTAAAATACAGTTACAACCTGGTACCATTCCTTACTACTTTAAAAAGAAGATAATGTTGGATAGAAATACATTTTTTCGTAAATAACCACGTTAAAAATATAGTAAATCTAAACGAATCAGCAGAAAATTCACTGTGCAATTGTTTAAATATCTTTCATCAAAATATGTGTGGCCTAAATAAAAGAAAGATGAATTGGAAATGTATTTAGAGAGTTTGAGAAACCCTTCACATTATTTGTGTATTAGTGAGCATTTTCTTAACGCAGAATTAGTTCAATTACTAAATCTTACAAAATATAATGTTGCATCATATAATACCAGAGTAAATAAGCTAAGAGGTGGTACTATAATCCTAGTAGAATCGGATAGGGAATATGATGAGCTACCCATAGGCAAAAAATTGTACAAAATGGATAGTTTTGAAATATGCTGTGTTAAAGATATTTTGACTGGCGTGTCTGTGTGTTGCTGTTATCGTACTCCTTATGATAAAAACCTAGACAATTTTATGGTTAGTCTTGAAAAATTATTAGAACATTTCTTTAACAAGAACTGTATTATCTGTGGTGATTTCAATATTGACTTATTAACTGACAATAAAAAAAGGAATGACTTATTAAATCTATTGACATGTTATAACTTCAGACCTTTAATTAAGTTGACCACGTTTTTTCGAAATGACTCACAATCTTGTATTGACAATGTCTTTACTAATTTGTCAGATGAATGTGTGATAAGTTGTGATGTCGATCATAACGGATTGGCAGACGGACATGCGGGACTGCTTTGCAATACAGCTTTCAGAACTAAGGAACTATGTAGGAATAAAAAGACTAGTAATATTCAAATAACCAAGCGTATTTTCAGTGTAAATACAAGAAATAACTTTAGAAATTTGCTACTAAATCATGACTGGAGTGATTTCGGAATAAACTCTTTTTTGAAACAATTCGAAGAAATGTTTACACGCTGTTTTAAGAAAAGAAAAATGCAGGTGCGCTTAACGCGTAAAGCGCAACTACGTTGGGTCACAAAGGGTGTGAAGGTTTCAAGCAAGATGAAACGATTTCTATGTACTGGCAAAGGGAATGGGCAAAGTGACACTGTGATGGACTATCGACAAAAATACATAGTTCTGTACAGAAAAGTGATAAATATGGCCAAAAAGTTATCAGTACAATATGAATTATCAAAGTCGACGAACATTTCAAGGGATATTTGGAAAGTGGTAAACAAGCATAGGAATAAGAATGTAAAGAACAATAAAAAAATTATCTTAAAATCCAACAATAAAATTGTGTCAGAACCATCAGATATTGTAAATATCTTGTCTCAACAGTTCCAAATTAATTCATCAGCCACCGCAAGCACAGGAGCTGCCATGGATATTCTGCATAGGAGTGCAAAAAGAGTAACTAATGACCTGATCTTTGACCCTGTCACTCCCCGTGAGATATTTAAAATAACGAAAAATATGGACGACAAAAAATCTTGCGGCTATGATGACATAAAAATATCAGTAATAAAGGATAATATAGATATACTGGCGGTACCGTTAAGCATTTTTTACAACAAATGTTTTGATGAAGGAATTTTTCCAGATCAACTGAAGATAGCCAAAATAATACCTGTACACAAAAAAGGTTCTAAAGCGGATCCAAAGATGTACAGACCAATCTCATTACTACCTACTCACTCAAAAATTTTTGAAAAGCTAATTCAGTCTAGATTACTTAAACATTTCTACCAAAATGGGGTGATAAATAGAAAACAATTTGGTTATCAGAAAAACGTCGGGACACAAGACGCAATATCGACTCTGATTAAGGACGTAGTGAGTAGATTAGATAATAAACAGAAAGTAGCTGGGCTTTTCTTAGATTTAAGTTCAGCATTTGATACAGTGGATCATAAACTATTGCTAGAAAAACTTGAACACTACGGTGTCAGGGGTAAGGTGCTGGCTCTTCTTTCATCATACTTAAAGAACAGGAAGATGTTCGTAGAGATCAAAGCAGAGATGTTAGGGACAAATTCCTCAGGCAATAACTGTCTAACTGAAGAAACATACAAATCTAAATTGGCACCTGTGCACACTGGCGTACCACAGGGCTCCATACTGGGTCCGATATTCTTTATCATGTTTGTTGATGACCTGATACAACATATGATGCAGAATGCTGCAGGATCTATAGAGCTTGTGGTGTTTGCCGATGATACTAACGCTGTTGTTTCGGCTGACAGTATACGCACTCTTGATTGCATTGTTAATCAAGTCTTAGATATCTTCCACAGTTGGTTTGCTGTCAAAGGTCTCAAAATTAATGCCAGTAAAACTAATGTCATGCTGTTTCGATCTACTTCCAAAAATAAGGATAGCATTAACTGTGCCATTAATGGAGAAAAAGTAAACGTGGTAGAGGTGGTTAAGTTTCTGGGAGTTTATATTGATAGCCAGTTGAGGTGGAAGGAGGAGCTAAAATACCTTGAGAAAGTGATTAGCCCTGCCTGTTACGTGCTTAGAAGTCTCAGAAACGATGTGACAATAAAATATTTAAAAATGGTGTATTACGCATTGGTGGAGTCAAGGCTAAGATACAGCATACTTTTCTGGGGTGGAAGCTATGACTACAATATACAGAAAGCATTTGTAATACAAAAAAGGGCAGTCAGGACTATGGTTGGAATACAGCAGCAAGAATCATGTAAGCCTCATTTCAATGAATTGAATATACTGACAGTCCCAAGTTTATACATTTTGGTCCTGCTTACCCATTTGTCTAGGTACATCTTTGAATATGAGACTGAGGATGAAAGACAAAGAAGGGAGAGCACAAGAAGGAAAGATCTTCAGTTGAAGCAAGTGACTCACCTAAACGTTGCAAAGCATAGTTCCTACCACAAGTCGTTAAAGCTGTTTAATAAACTGCCAACGGAAATAAAAGGTCTTATTTATAAAGGCGAGTTTCGGAATAAGCTTAGACAGTTCTTGTTAAATAAGTGTCTTTATCATGTTGACGAATTATAACTTAATTTATTGGAATTGTTGTTGTGTGTTTTTTTTTTTGGTATTTTATGGATGACATGACTATATTTTATTATATTTTGTGTATTATTGTTTTATTTTGTTATAATTAATTATGAATTGACAAGTACAGGGAATGACATTTAACTTTATTAATTGTAACGGCTAATTATTGCATGTATAATTTTTAGAATATAGGTGTATTGTACAAATTCAAACACAATGTAATAATTGTTCATGAATAAATAAATGAAATGAAAAAAACGAATGTTGTCATTAGCTTTCACTTTTAGACTTCTAGTACCATCAAAGTTATAAATGACAATAAATTTTAGACTTCAATAAAAACAGTTTGGAGTAATTACAATAAAACGATAGTTTCATCTTTACTAATGTCCATTAGCTTAGAGGAATGGTCGAAGTTATATAATCAATTCCTCGAATAGGCAAAAAATGTTGAAAGTTTTTCTGTAGAAACGTTCAATAATGTGTGAACACGAGTCGATCAATGGTAAGTAGTGTGGTTCCCGGACGATTACGGCGCAATGTAAAACATTCCCGTAGGCGCGCATATGTGAATAAAAACCGCGGGCCCCAAGTGTTTGCATAATGGAATATTTCGTAGCACTCAACAAATCATTTTCCGTCGACTAGTGGTGGGACGTGCGGCTTTATACCGCGCTGCTCTTTTATTACCAGTCAGTACATGTTCGCTGTTTGTGCAAACTTCACATAAATATTATAAACTCGTTTGGTACAGGAGACGATATAACTTGTCATTAAATGGTTATTTATTATGTTGATACCTCTTTGGTTGGATATTGTACGTTGTTTACTGATAACTTTTCAACTTGAAATATTTCTTTAATCTAGTTTAGTAGGAAACTAAACTATGGTGTATAGAAAATATGCAGTAAAATTTTGTTGGAAAGTTGGAAAGTAAAAACGCTTGCTGATTTATAATTTCTGTACGCAAAGTGTTGGCGTGGTTGTATCACATTTTGCTGTTAAATGGTCTTTACCATGTTTTTAAATTATTATGCAGTTAACTATAAATACATCACCCATGCAAGTGTTGGTACGTATGGGTGCGCGCTGTACTCGGGTACTCCACTCGACTTCACATAAATTGTGTTGAGATTTGTTTGCCGGCGGCGCGCGGCGTGGGGCGCGGCGGTTGATTTGCTTGTTCATTCCATAAACATGGCGCTACTCGTACATACTGCTTACTGCACAATTACAACGTGTCACACTTTGTGAGTTACATTTAATATTCTGTATACTTCATACTATGAATATTATTTTATCAATCAGAAGGAAATCAACACACTCAATCACAACACTTCGTAAGTTCGCGTTGAGTCGTGGTACTGCGCGCGCGTCCGTCACAGTGATCTATCAGCTCCTCCTTTAAACATCAGTCTCGGAGCTGTGACGCTATCATAGTCACTTGGAATCAATTCGCAGTCTGCTAAATAGATTTACCTCCGATTCGACTTTTATTCGAGTAATAAATCGAGTGGGCCCACCTCTAACTCGCGGAAAGGGCGATGCTTATGTATGAAGGGTGCCGGTTATAAATGGCGGGGCTTCGGCTGTTTTAAGCGAAAATCGAGCGAGTTTTTAGCCGACAGAGGGAAAGCGGTCAATGTGATTTATGAAGTGGCACGGTGGGATATCTTGTGAGAATCGACGTGTTGACATCAGCTGTTGATATAAATGACGGTGCGATTATCGGCCCCTTGTACAGCTGGAACGCATTCTTTGCCCAAATATTTCACAATGATTTACGAACAATAGCAGCTTACGAATTTGTAGTTAAAGCAAAGTAGCAATTATTTTGTTATGTTACATACATCTTTGTAATCATTTTTCCTGTTCCTGAATTACGGTCTAATAGTGCAGAGAATATAATTAATTTGTAGACACAAACACGGTCCGAAACTTGGCTAAACTAATAATTACTATAACTCTGCAGCGAAACATTCTTACACACAACTTCCAAAAATAACAAAGTTCTTGACGAACTTGGAGCGTGGGATTACCGTTAAATAGTGAGG